TTTTGACAAGGGAAATAGGAGTAAATATAAATTTGAGAAAAGTTTTAAGTATTTAGACATTTGTTTGCTCTTAATAAGATAACCAGTACGATGCGATTATATGTCTTCTGAGAAATTCTGGCCAGCTTATCAAATATAAATTGTTGCTACACTTTAAATCATGTTCATATTTATTTTAATCTTTTAATAGTTATTTATCTTTATGTCATTCTAAAAACAAAAATAAGGCTCCTACAAACTTTTGATTTGCTCTGTATATACTTTTCAGAGGCTTTTTCTCATGTTACTAAAATTCTTTTAATCTAATTAATTTAAATAATTTTTAAAACAATGCCAAAGTTCTTCTAAAATACATTTCCTGTCAGTGTTTGAGTGTCTCATGTGTTTAATTCAGAACACTTTCTGTTTAATTTTTCTCTCTCCACTGCTTAATGACTACAGAATCTTGTATGCCACTGGCAAACATGAAACCTTTATCTTTTAACTCAGTTTTTTCATTCACCCTTGTGATATCTATCATCTGTCTTTGCAAAACTGTGGGTCATACATCTTTCACATTTCATTGAGAAGAAAAGAAACTTAATTCCACTAGGATCTCCATTATCAGTTCTTCCTCCTGATTTTTTTCCCTGTGGGGATTTTTATGTTGGCCAAATAGTACTCTGAAGACTCCTTAGACAGATCAGCATTTTACAATGGCAAAATGAAAAGGCAAAACTGTATTTTGAGTTGGGAAATTAAACTCTATACTGTAGCATTCAGCTGACCATGTCTAGATCTGTCAGTATTTGATTTTCATTTAATATTATTGCATTATTCTCTTACATGGTAGAGTACCTTCATGTTCAGTAAAGTTGTTTGTAGCCACTGCATAACAGTAATTAGCCACCTGATTACACCTTGAATTCTACCAGTTCTAAAGATTACTGTACAAACCGCATCTTTTTGTGGGATCTGCCCTCCAAGGACCATTAATTATATTTCAGCAACAGCAAAACTGTAATATCCTTTTCCATATTCATCATAGAGTATTTTGTCTTCCATGGAAAAGAATTGCTGAAATGAATTATTCAGGAATCAGTCTGGTGGGAAATTGTTTATTTCTCAAATTGGTCCAAATTCTCATTTTTAAGCATACTGAGACTTCTAATTTTCAAGTAGTTGCTCACATATTCAAAAGTCTCTTACATGGAGACATACTTTCAAAGTCACACTTTCTATCTTAAAGTATTCTAAATAATGTGACATTTCAAACTGTCCATTCTAAATCTTTCCTCCATGGAGTAAGTAAAAGCAGTGTTTCTTTGGAGCCTTCTCGCCCTGGTCTATTTTCTTAGTGGTGTCTAATAGTGCATCTTTTCTATGTAAAATTGGATGCCGAGTTTTACCAGAAAAATACTGAATTATTTCATTTTATATTTTGTAGGTATGACTAATAAAAGCATGTTAGTAAGCTCCTACCTTTTGCCTGATCTACTTATTCCTACATTATACTCGAATTTTAACCTTCCCCTGCTAGCTGCACTGTACATGTTTTCCCATACTGATCATTTCCTTTCCTGTGTCTCTACAGACAGGAGTCCCTCTGTCTGGAATGCATTTCCCTTTCTTCACTGTTCATTTATATAAACTCCCCATGCTTCCTTCAAAACTCTGGTCAAATGTCATTTATGAAGCTTTCTCTAAACATCTCATTCTAAACACACACACACACACACACACACACACGCACAATGTTTTCTCTATGGTCATCCAATAATATATCACAGATCAGATTACTGAATTTGAACTTTGTTTCACACTTGTGCAGACTTTCACATCTCAGCAGTCAAGGCATATTATTGATTTATCCTTGGACAGGACCTGCTCCAGCTCTGGTACAGGAACAGATGCTTCATATGCATCTATAAATAATTAAGTGATTAAACAGTATGTGTCAATTAGTGTAAACCTCTTTCTCACATTCTGGTTGATAACGTTGTGATTTTTTTCTATATGATATTGGTACCTGTGGCCATAATGACCAAAGGCAGAAATGCTATTTTAAAGCTTAATTTTGGAGATTTTACAGCAGATAGAAATAAATCTTAAAATTCTACCTGATTAAGGAAAAAATAAAGGAAACTGAAATTCTCCTCCAAAAGTTAATTTACATTTAGAATAGAAAATACCTGAAAAGAAGCAAGGAGAACTGAGGAAGATAAGACTTTTCAAATAAGAGATGCATGGAAAGTTAGCTCTTAATGATTAATGCAAGAAAGTACAAATGCAGCGCAAGTGAACAGAATTAAGTAATAAATATCTCTCTTGGAACTGCTGTTGTAAGTGACCAGGAGAGAGGCCTAGGAGACATCACCAGGACCCAATCCACAAACAATCCAGAATGTCCCAAATTATATTCTTGCTTCCTTTCAACTTACTTTAAACTAAATCAAAGTTTCTATTGTGAAGAGAAACAAAAGCTTCAACTAAGTTATGAAATTATCCATTTAAGACACATAATATTTTATTATTTATTGCTTTCTTCCTTATTACTTTTCTGATAACCACAGAAGTTTAACTTCTGTTAAGGTCATTCAAATGATTTTACCAAGAATGTGCCTGGATGCTTGAAAGAGGGGAAACATAGTTTATGAATTCCAAAATAGCACTATTTGAAAACATAAGAATCTTGTAAGCCTTCTTAGAACTGATTTATTTTTTTTTACTCGCTGCATTCCCCCCACATATACACAATAAAAAATAAAGCTTTGGGTGGAGTTTAGAACTCTTTTCAAATGTTAAACAATAACTGGAAATCCTGAACATGTATTCTCCTTTACCCAGTAGGGAAAACACTTTCAAGTCTCTCTTTTTGTTGTCGCTGTTAAGAATTATTTAACAAGGCATTTAGTCAATGGCTTCTATTTTAAACTGAAAGTTCAATTTTAACTGCCTGAAATATATTTTTCTTTCCAAAACACAATTCCTTTTTTTCTCGAGACATAACAAGTGCATGTTCCTAATAACCTTGATGAATGTGTCAATGAAATTAATGATTTACTTCAGTCAAATTGTGAAATTAGAGAGCTGGAACATATATCATAAAAGTGTGAGTTTGACTGCAAATATAAATCATATCTTCACATTTAAAATTCTTAAATATTCTGATAGATAAGTAATTATGTACTCTGTACATATTTACCAGGGTGCATGTAGAAAGAAGAAAGAAACAGGGACACAGAGCACACCATGGCATTGTGGACAGAAAGTAGGTGAGGGGCCTGCAGTCACTCTGACTTCCGTTCCCCGAGGCCAGGGCCACTTGGGGGTTTCCATTCACAACTCTCCCTGGAATAGTTTCTCTGGCGAGTGGAGATAAAACAAAACTAAATTTCCAATCTATTAATAAGGAATTTCAAATTAATTGAAATACTCTGCAATGATATATAACAGTAAACATCATTATATATTTACAGATGAACTGATAAACTCATGTAATAATTCTGACAGTTTTCTAACTGAATTCCTAACTGAACTAAGTAAAAGAAGGGGGCTTTAACTTTTTCCTACCAAATCTCACATGAAGAGAAATTTACCACTTATTTAGAGTTACTTTTCAAAGAATGCTTAAATTTCATACATAATTTTTCAATTTTAGCTATTTCCTGCATATAGTCTGCAAGAACTAGAATAGTCTTCAAGTGTATCCCAAAGTCTGACTTTTTTTTTTTACTGTAGTCAGACAGACAGACTCTCTAACACCAGTTCCAATGCTGATTCAAGAAAGGTTTCCCTGGTGCTGGGTTTTCTATTCTTGAGAAATGGAGGATGTGCTACAAGCCTTCTCAATGGACGCATCCCTAAAGTAGCTGGGCACATAGGACTTAGCACAGAAGAGCTCCTGTTTTCACAAGGTCCTGCACAGGGCATGAGGCAAGTATACCTGCCTGGGAGCAGAACAGTCCTCACATCATCCTAACTTGAGCTTCAGGAGGCAACAACGGAAGAAGACAGGAGGTAGGCCACTGCTGCCGTGGGAGCCACAGGGGATTCTGACTCAAGATCCTAACTCACTTTCACCTCACAGTTGTGTGTGCAGAGTAATGAAACGCGCACACGTCTCCAAACGCTCCACCCAGAAGCCCACTCCTGCCTCCTCATTTCCACAGAAGCAGTTCTGAAATAAATCCTTCACTTGTTTGGGGGAAAGGCTCTACGTATTCCTGGTGTGCATATCACTGTCTTAATGTGTGTGTGGTTTGATGCTTTACCACTTTGCATTAGTCACGCCTACCTTTTTTTTTTGAGTGTTAAACTTGTTTCCTGAAATTTCTATGCGTGTGTGACATACAGAAATCATATTTTTGCGTCTCAGCTGCTTTTATTCATAACTTCTCTCTTTCCTTGACTGGGTGCATCAGACAAATTAATACATGGATGGCAAAAACCTGGCTATAATTCAATAACAAATGATAACTTAGAAATACATCAATGCAGTAGACAAAAACCATTAAAGAACATTAACCATCCAACTAAGAGACAACCTACAATATGGGAAAACATTTTTACCAGCTGCTCCTCAGACAAAGGACTATTATCTAGAATCTATAAAGTACATCCATCAATAACATTAAAAAATTATCACCATGGGCAGGGATTTTAGCTCAGTGGTTCTACTGCCTGCCTCTCAAGCGCAAGGTCCTGAGTTCATTCAATCCCTGGTACCAGAAAAAAAAAGAAAAAAGAAAAAAAAGATCACTGATATAATGACTACTTAAAGCATTAGTGTAATATGCAGGATCAACTAATGGAAGAACCCATTTTAAAGTCTTTTAATAAGGATAATTTATATTAATTTGAATATTAACATCACATCCTAGTTAATGACGTGTGTCTAAGATGTCCACTAAAATTTTTATGTGAGTAATCCATTTAAACTCTCTAGTCCACACCTGCAACTTAGCACTCCCAACACTAACTGGACACCATCAATATCGCCAAATTTAACAAATACTCACGAGAGAATATTCCCAATATAGGCGTAGTAGGAGCAACAGTAGGGTGTGGTTCCATCACAGCAATAAGATCTGCAGTCTTTGCCACACTGAGCAAGGCAATTGTCTACATAATAAAAACCATGTGTGAGCCATTATGGTTGTGAAATCACAGCACCAGTATTCTACTACATATTGTTATCAGTTAGTTCCTGCTGTTCAGTAATTCAGATCTTCATCTTCATGCTCAGAATTCTAAAACATTTGCCAGCTTTTAAACTCACCTTGATTCCCAGTTAGACATAGGCGGGAAGAGCAAAGACCACTCTTCCTGAAGCTCCTTCACCAGGCACTGTAGTAGTCAGCGTGAGTCAAGTGAGATAATGAAAGGAGAAATGAATGAATGAGTCAATGATCATTCATCCAATTCGTCAGTAGATTTCTTTGAATAGTTTTTAATTGAGAAAGTTTTCTGATTTTAGAGCATTATGTTCTGAATCAACCTCAATTAATGAAAAAGTGTTATTGACATGGGTAATACCGAACAGTGCTAATTTAAAACTAATTTTCCATGACAATGTATTTTGTGCTTTTCTTTCCATGCCACTTTACCCTCATAATTACAGTTCGTTTCCATATGGAAACAGAAATCTCTCTGCTTTCTGTCAACTCATTAGGCTTGGAAAATGGTATGTTAGTTACAATAAGAAGTTCACATAGACAGTTATTTGTGAGCAATTAACAGTTCATTAAAAGTCATGCTGAAGAATCAATAAGCTATAATACTGCACAATATGAAAGAGGAAAAGGTACTGTCTGATCAAAAAGATGTATTAGAGGCTATACTCTTAAGCAAAATAAATGGGGCACACTTGAGTAAATACTGAGTAGTTTCTCTGGTGTGAAAAACTTAAAGTGTAAATAAGGTTCAAGTGGTATAATTGATAGTGTGAAATCAGAAGACAATGGTTAAAGGGGAAATGGGAAGGGGAGGGGAAGGAAATAAGGGAAAATAAAAAATATAAAAAAAGGAAGAAAAGGAAATGAAGTCTTTGTAAACAGGGAAGGGTGAAGAGGGAGAAGGGAGAGCAGGGGTATCGGGAAAAAATGAGAGCCAAGGCCTATCATGTAAAGGCACAAGATCCCAATTAGAAATGTAACTGTATTGTTTGCTTTAAATGTACCAATAAACTTAACATGAAAAAAAAGATGTATTAGAGGCAAGAACACCAAATTTCTATTTTTCTACGTTTTTCAAGAAGGAAAATTATACTAGAAATGTTAGATAAAAATTAGCCTAACCTTTTAAAATTTTGTTATCCTCATACATTGTTTATTTTTGTTATATTTATTTATTTATTTATATGTTTTTTTTTTTTTTTGAGACAGGGTCTCACTATATAGTTGAGACTGACCTGGAACTCACTATGTAGCCCAGGCTGGTCTCGAATTCAGAGCAATCCTCCTGTCTCAGCCTCCCAAGTCCTAGAATTAAAGGCATGCACTACCATTCCCAGTTATGTAGTTTTTAATTAATTAGGTTTATGAGTACATTTTAGGTATACAGAATGATCACATTCATCATAGGGAATTTGTACCTGTACATGATATATCTTGATTTTTATTTTTTCCCATCCTCCCTGCTACCTTGTTTTAAGTTATTATTGGGTTATAATCAGTACTACAAATGATAGATATGTGAGTTTAAAATACTATATATGATTAGGAAAACATAAAGTACACACTGATAATTAAAGTTGTGTCTTCAAGAATCACAAAATAAGTCATTTCTAATTTATTCCTTCTAGGTAATATTGACCATTATATAAACTATATAAAGATTTTGGTTTCCTATCAAAGGTATAATATTAAAAGTATAAGTATTTTATTTATATCTATATAACGTGTTGATTTATCCAGAAAAGAAATATTTGATTGCTTCTAATTCACCTCTTTGCTGAGATGATTCTTTACAAAATGATGTGATCAAAAGGTAGCAAATTTCATCTGCCTTCATCATGGCTTTTATGGAACAAGGGAGAAAGTTCAACTTCAAATTTTATTTCCTTGAATTTTATTTTTACATTATAGATAAATAACTACGAATGTTTGTATTTTCTTCTTGATTGTGATAAGACAAAAAGAGAGGGGAAAATTCTCTGTAAGCTTTAGCAACTACCTAAACCACTTATAAATTTTGAAGCAAAAACACATGGGAAACATTTAGATTCCAGGGAGAGGTTAAGGTGCCAACAATAAGTATTTTCTAGCTGGGCGTGGTGGCTCACACCTGTAATCCCAGCACTCAGGAGGCTAAGGCAGGAGGATTGCTGTGAGTTGAGACCAGCCTGGGCTACATAGTGAGTTCCAGGTCAGTCTCACCTACATAGTGAGACCCTGCCTCAAAAACAACAACAACAACAACAACAACAAAAACAAGTGCTTTCTGCAAAGGGCATCATACTTTTAATGGTGAATTTGTGCTTTCTTCCGTGACTATTCTGCTATTGTCACTTTTATACTATTTAACTTATTCACATATTTAGACTGGTCAGTTATCCCCAAGGTTTAGTAAGGATGTGTTACCTCTTGTTCTTTAAAAGCCACTCAGATCTGGAGAGAGCTACTGTCTTCACTATTCATAGTAAGACAACTGATGTTTAAGTAAATTCACCGGTGCCTTTTCAGTGAGGCTCAGGACAGTGAATTCTGTTAAATTTTCCATGAATGTCAAATATTCAATTAGTACCACCACTTTCCAGTTACTAATGCCATAAGGACATAATGTTATCAAAATTATTTTGAGCCCCCATTGCAGGAAACCAAGCTCAAAACCTTGTAGCCAAGAAGAAGGATTTGCCTGCAGCAAATATCTAGATCATGTCACACACTGTTTCTTATTTTTATGGTCTTTTCCACAACTCTTGTCTCCTTCCCAGCACGGGACTACTGAAAAGGGCAAATTTAATTACACTGCAAACACTTTCACAATTGCAACTTTTCCAGTCTAAACTTTCAACCATATCTCAAAGTTTATTTTGCTATGTTACTTGCTTTCTCTGGCTTGAGTTTTCACGCACTTATAAAAGAATGCAACGTTCCAACTGTCCTTGGAAGATATGTTGTATCACTTCTAATAAACAAGTTAATATCCCGGAAAATTAGATAGTTCAAACTTTCTTCAATAGCTCTTTAATTAAAGGCAGGAAATAGAAGAAGTTCCCCAGCTCACCCCCTTACCCCACCTTCGGGAAAGTTTAGTACAGGAAAAGCAGTATCTGGCTTGAAGGACTTGCTCAGAAGGGGCTCCTGCAAGCTATAGCTAAGGATAAGAAAGGAAGGAAAAGGAAGGGACGGAAGGCGCTGGCTGAGGCCCGGATCCTATCTTTGTAGCCTGCAGTAGGAATTGGACAATAAAATAAACACTTCATTATGTCTTTTTCTAAAGGTGACTCCACCATAAAGCATGATATTTCATGGATAGAAGCCTTGTTTGTAATTTACCTAACCAAACGGAGCATGAATATAATGAATTTGTTTGTGGAGAATAATTCAGATTAGGAACAGTGCATCTGCTTAGGTGCTTGTCTCATGAAACTGACAATCCATTTACCAGAGTATCTCAACTATTTCTATTTCTAACCACAACCCATACTTCCAACTCAACTGAATGGTCCATCATTGTGTATACACATCTCATGATGCTTGGTTTTGTTCCTACTATATTCTAACATACCCTACTCTATCTCTGCCCAGGGCTTTCTTATTTAAGTAAAGATCTTGTTCCTCCAATTTCTCCGCAATTCATCATTCCTGAGCAAGTGTTTGTTTGAGCTCTTTCAAGGGCAGGAGTTTTGCTTAGTCTCTGAGGCTGTGCAGACTGTCTTTAAGGAGAGTTTACACTTATAAGCCACCAATAAGATCCCCACCCTTTGAAAACCAACACACGGGATGGTGTCTCTCCTAGGACACATGACAGTGATTCATGGGCACACCTTCCTTCGCTCCCAGAGAAAAACTCAGAGCATGACTCCTGGTCTCTTCTTGATTAAATATGGCAAGTTTAAAAGCCTCTGGAATCAGAAATCCAGGAAGAAACACCAAAGAGTTTACAAGCTGAACATTTCTTATGAAAGACAGTCAACCTAGTATTGGTTAGTAGTTACTTCACAGTGTGTAGTTTGCTCTCTAGTTTGCTACATAAGGAGGGAAATTGATGGAACCTAGAGGAACCAGCCTTGCTGCTGACCAGCTGGGCTGGTTTCCTGAATGTGCAACTGGCATTGAGAGAACTGGAGGAAAGGAAGGGAAGGTGCAGTAGGAAGAAGTTTTCAGTCTTTCAAAGGAATAAAGCAGACACAAGAATAAGAAAAACATGTAGTGCAATGCAGTGGTTGACCAAGGGCAAGTGAAGGTCATTCAATAAAGTCTCATTTGTATTTCCCCCCCCTTCCTTCCTTCCCATGCAGCGGAGGTGGAAAGGATCTGCACTGCTTTAAATGAACTAATAAAGAGATTTTTATGGAAAATTAATGTGAATGCAGCTGTCCTTAATTCCTCAAATTTGGAAAATTTACATGGTTCAAGTAAACGGAATGTTGCAAACAGATTAAAATGTGAATTTTTCCCATTACATTGGAGCAAATTTACTACTTGTATGCATTCTATATTAGAAAGTCAGTATTTTCCCTATAGATATCTTTCAAATGACAGTTTTAAACATGTGCTAATGTGCCCTTTAATAAGCAGATTGAGAATTTCTATGGAAACTATATCTGGGGAGGTCAGATGAGAAATTAGATGCTTCGGTGACAACGTGGGAGGTCTTCATTGGAACTTGTGGTATCTCTCACAAGGTGAACTGCAGTGCCATTCATATAAGCAGCATTGCAGGGAGATGGGTTAAGACTGATTTTTGCCACCGGCAATCAAGCGCTATGGTAATATTTTCATTTAAAAATTAGCTTCTAACTTTGTTCTGGAAGTACGAACAGATGCAAGGACCACGTGTGTAATTAACTTTATACCTGACTACCCAATGAAAGGTTGCCTCGGGCATCCCATCAATCACAAAACAAAACTCAGTTTGCTTTATTAATCATTAGTAATTCTCACTAAGAATAATCAGAAGGCAGGAAATGAAATTCCCCCCACAAAAAGTGCGTAGCTACATGAAAGAAAACAGATTAGACTCTGGGTGAATTCATACCTCTCAAAAACCTTGTATTTTAACTCAGCGCACCCCATCTCCCAGCCTCAACACTTGCGAATCGTCTAAAGAACAAAAAAAGGAAAGTCTAAGCTTTGATTTCTAAAACCGCATACATCCAGGCAGTGGGCAGTGGAGGGGCCCGTGGGTAGCCTATAAGGAGAGGGCAAAGTCACCAGTTGAGTTTACTTTAAAACCCCAGCAAGACCTCCAAACTTCAGGTGCTTCTTAAAAGCGCTTTCCCTTCTCTGAGGGAAGGGAAGATTCCCTCGCGCCTAGATTCCCGAGTCCTGGATACATTTTACACTGTCCAGGCAGTGCAGTGCCCTCAACGTGAGGTTACCCTTTGCAGGTTGCTTGGCAAGGAGAAAGGGTCCGGGCAGCAATAGAAAAAGCCAAAGATGAAAACAAGCAAGCGCGCTGGTTTCTGGTGGGACCACACCATCTCTGCCTCCCACAAAGGTCTCAGATCGTCCTGCCCCGCCCGAGGTGGCCCCGACCCGGACCCAAACACGGCCCAGGCACCGACCGTCCCCGTCGCCCCGTGTCACTGACCTGCGTAGACAAAGAGCAGGACTAACTCGGGAAGCGGGACCCCTGGACGCCCGGGCAGCCTCGGCGGGTCCATCCGAGCCAGGACAGACCGACAGACGGACAGAAGACCGGACAGGGGCTGGGAGATCCCGGACGCGGCCGGGTTGCGGAGGTGGCGGGCGCTCAGAGGCAGAGAGGGGCTCTCCCCGGAGCAGCGTGGCTCGGAAGCCTGGCCATGGCCCGGAGACCC